TCGGCTTTCTATCCACCTTACAGTCCATTCATCCAACCCATACTTTCTCAGCTTGCTTGTAAGATGCTGTGGGAGATGGTATCAAAAGCTGTGCTAAAGTCAAAGTGTATTATATCCACTGCTTTCCTCACATCCACACAGCCAGTTATCTCATCATACAAGGCAATCCAGTTGATCAGACATGATTTGCCCTTGGTGACTCCATGATGACTGTTCCTAATAGCCATCTTCTCCTCCAAGTGCTTAGAAAATGATTCTTTGAGGACCTGCTCCATGATTTTTTTGGGGGACTGAGGTGAGGCTGACTGGTCTGTAGTTCCCTGCATCCTCCTTCTTCCCTTTCTTAAAGCTGGGCAAATTTGCTCTTTTTCAGTCATCCTGGATCTCTCCCAGTTGCCATGAGTTTTCAAAGATAATGGCCAGAGACACTGTGCAGTTGCATCAGCCAATTCTGTCGGCACCTTTGGGTGCATCACATCCAGCCCCATGGACTTGTACATGTCCAGCCTTCCTAAATAGTCCCTAACCTGTTGGCTGCTCACCTCCTCCCCAGACTGTGCTGCTTGGTGCACTTAGTCTGGGAGCTTACCTTGCCTGTGAAGACTGGGTACAAAAAGGCATTGAGTACTTCAGCCTTTTCCACACCATCTGTCAGTAGGTTGCCTCCCCCATTCAGTAAGGGACCCATACTTTCCCTGATCTTCCTTTTGTTGCTGACATACTTGTAGAAACCCTTATTGTTAGCCTTCACATTCCTTGCTAGCGGCAACTCCAATTGCTCTTTGGTCTTCCTGATATCACCCAGGCATGTTTGAGCAGTCCTCTTATATTCCTCCCCAGTCATTTGTCTAAGTTTCCACTTCTTGTAAGCTTCCTTTTTGTGTGTTAGTGCACTGAAGAGTTCCCTGCAAAGCTAGGCTTGTCTTCTGCCACACTTGTTACTCTTCCTGCATGTTGGCATAGTTCATTCCTGCACCCTCAGTAAGGTTTTTTTAAAGTACAGGCAACTCTCCTGGCCTCCTTTCTCCTTCAGACTGGTCTTTGTACTGAAATGCTCAAAAGTCAGGACATGCCAAAGTTATGGTTCTCTTTATAACTATTCTTTTTGTTCTCAAGTAAGCACAGACAACTCCAGTGAATTCAGTTAAGTTGCGTGAATGTATCTGAGTACAAAATATGCTCTTATATGAATAATGCAGGTGACCTGTGGTTGCAAGGAGAACTCTAACTTTCACATTGTAAAATTGTTACCATGTTATTTTTATTAAGAGCAGATTTTGAATCTAATAAATGTACCACATGTTGCAAAGTAATTATTCACTGACTCCCAGAGGGATAATGAGGATACTCCATTGTGGTTTCTAAGATTAACACTTTTAAGTTATTGAAAGGTCCAATTGGGCAACTCCTCTACAGACACAATTCATTTTAATCTCATGGGAAAATATGTGTCAAGAATGTAAGATCAGGTCACTTGTTGCATCATATTCTGAAGTGATTGTGATGTCTGCTTAATATGAATGGGGCCCATCAAGCAGCTAGGGAAAAACTGAACAAATATGTTGTGAATCTTGAAGTTTTGCACTGGAACTTTAGATTGGGCTTAGAATTCCAAACAAATGAAAGAGAGTCTACCAGTGAGAGAGACTGGTTATAAACCTAATTCACTTGGTTTGAGGAATAATCAGTGTAATTATCTATTAATAAAAATTTAAAAAATGGCTAGGAAAGCCTCATAAGCTATGGACAGAAATTACACACAAGCTGGTATAAGTGATCAGAATCAGTTCAAATCTCTAATGCAACAGAAGTTCAGTGCACATAAACTGCTTTCAGAATGGCTGAAACCAGTTGGATATATTATCAGACTTAATTGATTTAAGTTAAACTGGTTTATTGAACTTCTGTCCCAGATCCCATCCAGATTCAAGTTAACTCACAGTCCCCGAGCATCCCAGGATGCTTTGCACCTCTCCCACAAACCCTCCCTGCCACTCCCCTCGAAGGGTGGGAGGGCTAACCTTGTCCTGAGCTATCTGCTCCAGCCAAGCAGGGAGGCATTGCTCTAGTATCCCACAGCTTCTGGCCTGGGATACTGTAGGCATGTGGCTACATTTCCGGAATTGAAAGTGAATGTCTGTGCGCTTGCTTATCAGTTCAATTTACACAGCTTTGGCTAACCTGCAAAAATTGAACTGATTCAGCCTTGGACTTTTTGACTGTCTGTACTTGGCCATAGTCTTTTGAGGAATGAATGGCAGGAAATGCTATTAAACAGCTCTATAAGGTAGGCAAAAAGTGTATGATTATAAAACATGGTCACCCTACAGAGATGGAGGTTGGTAGTAGTGATGACTGACTTGACAGCAGTCAGTGTAAATTGTCAATACAGTATAAGTATGAGACTCTAAAGTTAGTTTTAAGCCCCTATGTGCCTAAGCCACTTCTAACAATGGGCTTTTGGCTTCTAAACTGCTACAGTGTTTCTTAAAAATTTGCCCTCAGTTTGATCTAACTAGCTTATCTTCAAAATACAACACCTGCTAGTTACTGGGTAGTTACCTAGGCAGTGGGGAACTGGGAGAGGCAAAGGGTTAATATTGTATTACAGGGCCCTTCTACTCTGGTTCACAAACAGCCCAAGTTGATAACAATTGAAAATTATTAATGTTGTCAGCTTGTTGACTAAGTCAGCTGGTCTAAGACCAGACTGTGTCCATATTATACATCTACTAATGTTATTGGCACAGTTTGTTGACACTCAGAAAAGAAGCCAAGAACTGAATATACCCTCGAGACTGAACTTTCCTATCATACTGAGAGACTGGGTCACACTGAGACATTTTGGCAAAGCACTTTTGGGTGTACTTTATCTGTTTTATGGATACATAGGTTTCTGAACGTGTCAGTCAGGCACTGACTACCTGACGTACAATAGAAAGGAAACCAGAAAGCAAATAGGAGAAAAAGCAATGAGAAAAGAGAAAGCAAATAAGAAAAACAAAGCTGTCATATCTAAATTAATCTGGGTAATGTGAAAGAGGTGTTATTTCTTTGTCTTTTCCATATCAAGGGCATTGGATATGGATTTGTGATGCTGATGCTGCATAATCAATTCTCTCTCCTTGTCTGTGCTTTGTCAGGAATGGTTTTATTCATTTGCAGTCCTTGTTCATTCTTTCCTTCCTGTTTTGCTTGTCTTTATAGATTCTTATCTAAGCACTGAAAACATTTTTGTTGATATCAGAGAGATTGCACCCACTTTTGAGAAGTGAGTGAGTGTCACTACATGATGATAAAATAGCCATTTGAGATGCATTTACTAATGCTGATAACATTAAAATGCTCCCTTGAATACATACAGTGCTGTGAGCTGTTTATTCACTTGAAGAACTTTGTTGGGTATTTCTAGTATCTAAGTAACTTGGGAGTTTAAACCCTTCAATGGGACTTGTGCTCCTAAAGTCACTTAGACTTTGGAAAAATCTCACTTTTAAGGTTGGGTTTCCATTTGAGACACTTTATCAGGTGCATGACAGCTTAGCTAATTCCTTTTATTATAGCTGAAAGAGAATAGCCTGTGTCATGGCAATCTATAACGTTTGAATCCAATCTTTAGCAAATTCTGCTAGTATATAATGCAATGAGTAGTAAAATATGGTAAATTGGCCTGGGCTGTGATGTGTTCAGTTTAGATAAAATATCAATCCACCTGGGTTTTCCTCTTCATTAGGTTAGAGACAACTTTCATTTTATACAGGACTTGAATACAAACACGCACACACAGAAGAAAACAAAGAGCACTAATATACACTTGAATTTTGTTTTGGTAGTTGAGCTCACTAGCGTTCTTTCTGCATATAATAGTTCACTAGATGTAATTAAAACTTTAAGTAGAGAATTACTATGTTTACAAATGTAAAGTTTCTAAATTATTTTGGTGAGAAAGACTTACTTAATGGTGGTGAGCAGTGCCATACTGATGGCCTTTGGGGCACCTGTCCAGAAAAGGGTTTGGCATGGCAGCAACAGTGCCAATCACTTACCATGCTTTCCTTTCAAATTATTTACTTTCTGATTTGGGGAGTCAGTCTCTCAGGGAAAGTGGGAATCTTCATGATCTGGAGAGCTCTAATTAGTTTGCTCACTGTTCTTCTTCCCTCTTTGCATCCTTCTGGCATGGGTGGCAGACGGATGGCTGGCTGCTTTTCTATAAGTGTGTGTGTGTGTGTGTAATTAGCTTTTTAGTCCTTGATTAAGTTACCAATTGAGAAGCATTCATGTGACCAAACCACCACAACTGGAGCCTTCATTAGGGTGCAGGGTCACTGAATGGACCAGCATATATAATATGATGTACAGGTTTCCCTTGCCAACCATGGGGGTTAGGTTCCTGAAAGTTCCTGTGGCTGGCAAAACTGGCAAGGCTGGAGAAGCAGGGGCTGTGGGTGGGGGGAAAGGGGGAAAGTGAAAGGCACGAGGAGGGCCAGAGGAGCCATGGAGGGTATTTTCTGACTGTCGTCCCCCTTCTCTAAAACAAGGATACTCAAAACTGTGGTTGGCAAAACCGTGATTGGCGAGGGAAACCTGTAATACTATTAAACGGTGCTTACTCTGTCAGTACCAATTCCTTGATCTGCCTCCTCACTCCATTTCAGGCGTGGAGGTAGTGAAGGGATTTTGTGTTTTTTAGCCTGAGTTGGATCAGGGCAGAGTATTTTATTAAAAAAATCATCTGAGTCTTTGTCAGATTACTTGTTTATCAATTCATCTTTGCCTGTTCAGCATCTAAACTCCAAAAGCAGCACCAGTAGTTTGCTCCTTACATTAATAGTTTCCCCTAATGGTAAATGCAATTTACTAAGTAACAAAGAAACAGCTTGGGCATTTCTAGCACTATTTCTCAGATATTGTAGTGTGTGTGTGCGCATGAGGAGAACATTGTATCTTGTTTTCTTTTTGTCTCATGCTTTCTCCCATCTCTATTTTATTTGTTTCAGATTCCTGGCCTTGTAATAAGAAGACCTGTTGCATCTACACAACAGAAGCTAAATCTTGTGTATGGCGTTGTTAAGGTTGCAGCCTCTCACCTCAGCCTTCCTCCATTTTGGGCTCGTTACCTTTGTGCTATTTTTGCATGGCTTGCAGGTGGATGCTGGCTTGACTGGAGATTCACCAAATATTGGACAAAACAACTCATGTGCAGGATCATTTGACTGCAAGGAGGGCGTGATCTTGCCAATATGGTACCCAGAAAACCCATCCCTTGGGGACAAAATTGCCAGGGTAATTGTTTATTTTGTAGCACTTATCTATATGTTCCTTGGAGTTTCCATCATTGCAGATCGGTTCATGGCATCTATAGAAGTCATTACATCACAAGAGAAAGAAATTACAATCAAGAAGCCCAATGGAGAGACCACTACCACTACTATTCGGATTTGGAACGAAACTGTTTCCAACCTGACCCTCATGGCTCTAGGTTCCTCTGCTCCTGAGATCCTTCTCTCGTTGATAGAGGTTTGTGGGCATGGATTCATAGCTGGAGACCTGGGACCTTCTACCATTGTTGGTAGTGCTGCTTTCAATATGTTTATCATCATAGCCATTTGCGTCTATGTGATTCCTGATGGGGAAACCCGAAAGATAAAACACCTCCGCGTTTTCTTTGTCACAGCTGCTTGGAGCATCTTTGCTTATATCTGGTTGTACATGATCCTGGCAGTCTTTTCCCCAGGTGTGGTACAGGTGTGGGAAGGTTTGCTCACTCTATTCTTCTTCCCTCTGTGCGTCCTTCTGGCATGGGTGGCAGACAGACGGTTGCTTTTCTATAAGTACATGCACAAAAGATACCGCACGGACAAGCACAGGGGTATTATCATAGAATCGGAAGGTGATCACACCAAGGGAATTGAAATGGATGGCAAGATGATGAACTCCCACTTTCTGGATGGAAACTTAGTGACTATGGAGGGGAAGGAGGTAGATGAATCTCGCAAAGAGATGATCCGAATCCTCAAGGATCTGAAGCAAAAGCACCCAGAAAAGGACTTGGACCAGCTGGTAGAGATGGCCAACTATTATGCCTTATCTCACCAGCAGAAAAGCAGAGCTTTTTATCGCATCCAGGCTACCAGAATGATGACTGGCGCTGGCAACATTTTGAAGAAGCATGCAGCTGAGCAAGCCAAGAAGAGCACCAGCTTGCATGAGATTTGTCCAGAAGAGCCTGAGGAATTCATCTCCAGAGTGTGCTTTGACCCTTGCTCCTACCAGTGTTTGGAGAACTGTGGTGCCGTCCTCTTGACAGTGGTACGGAAGGGAGGAGACATATCTAAGACCATCTATGTGGACTACAAAACAGAGGATGGCTCTGCCAATGCTGGTGCTGACTATGAATTCACAGAAGGAACTGTGGTCCTGAAATCAGGGGAAACCCAGAAGGAGTTCTCTGTAGGAATTATTGATGATGACATCTTTGAGGAAGATGAACATTTCTTTGTGCGCCTCAGTAACCTCCGTGTGGTAGAGATGGAGGAAACTCCAGAGCTCAACAGCTCACCATACCCAAAGGCCATACTCTCCTCTCCTTGTGTGGCCACGGTGACTATTTTGGATGATGACCATGCAGGCATCTTTACATTTGAGTGTGATGTGATACATGTCAGTGAGAGCATCGGTGTGATGGAGGTGAAAGTCCTAAGGACATCAGGTGCTCGAGGTACAGTCATAGTCCCATTTAGGACAGTGGAAGGGACAGCAAAAGGAGGTGGAGAGGATTTTGAAGATACTTTTGGGGAGCTGGAGTTCAAAAATGATGAAACTGTGTAAGTACCCCCTTCATTTCTGTTACTTGTTCTAGTTATTGTGGTTAATCCCAAATTTCGCTTTCACAGGTGAATGCAGACAACAGATAATGGGCCAGTTTCTCCAGCTTTCCTTCCGTTTCCATACTTACCTCTTCCAGGCAAGAACCCTACAGCAGGATCTAAGTGCTTAGGACTTCTTGTCCTTCCCCTGTCCTGGAGTAACAAATTGGGGGCTTGGAAATGTTACCAGCGGGTAGAAAAATATAGTCTCTAAAATCCTGTACTTAAATGAATTAACAGAACTTTTAAGACCTTACTTGGCCATTTTCATTATTCCTTAATTCCAGGAATAGTAAATGTGGTAGTCTGTAGAGCACAAGAGGTGTCTGAGTGCCTGATCCTTAGTCAGGTTAATAGTTCCATTTAGTTACTGCCAACAGAAGCAGACAGACGTTCAACCAAGCCAAAATAAGGTGGAATTTTTAAAATCACGCAGTATTGGCCCAGTTCTTCTCCTGTTCACTTCAGTGGGAGGAGAGAGAGAGAGCCCAATGGTGAACATTTTTCAAAATCTCTTCCAAAGAGCTAAGAGGACACTAGAGACCAATGGGAGCTACTGGACACTGGATTGTTTTGAACCTCTATCCTCAGACAGTGTGAGGAATAATTCCAGGACCAGACCATTGGTCACAAAACTGGACCTCTGTTCTACAGGTGATCTCCTTTAATCTCCTTTCCCCATGGAGACCAATTTAAGAGTTGAATTTCCCCTATAATAAAAGTGTTAATTGTGAGGAGAGAACAAAGGGCTAATACGTCAACTGGTTTAGGGAAATGTCTCCTTTGAATACTTTTAATGGTGTCTTTAATGAAAACCACACCTCCCAAATTAATAGCTCCAAATCAGGCCGTTTCTTGCACATGCACACACAGGAAAATCAAAGCTACTTACCTAACAAGGAGCACTTCCCATGTGGTCTTTCTTTCCCTTAGTTGCTTATCCAACCAGCTGATCTGTGTGGCAGCTAAAGGTATACAACTGGCAGCAATGCACGCCCTTCTGCCAGAATTGTATACTAAGCACTAATTCTAGGTTGTGTGTCCCTTGCAGCCTCTTTTTACTACTGTGATAGTGGGACAATACTCTATCAATATGCCCATTCTTTTTAGTAGTTTAGCATGGGGATTAAACTAATGGTGTAAATTTTCAGCTTCTGTATTGCCTTCTGTGTGATCCTCTCCAAGTACAGTATTCTTCTTATTCAAGTTTGTTTACCTGGGACTCTCCCCTGAGAAAAGCATTACAGTAATCTAAAGTGATGATCCAAACCACTGCAACTGTACCTGTGCAGCTCTGTAGCATGGTGTTTTCATACAAAGCAAAATTTAGGGACCTTTCCAGCCAGCGAAAGGACTGTTTTGAGTCAGAATTCGAGTCAGAATTCTGTTTAGGAGTGTAAATGGGTGTACTGATCTAGTTGGGGATGGTTCTGTTTTGAGCAGGGGGTTGGACCAGATGACCTCCTGAGGTTCCTTCCACCCCTAATTTTCTATGATACTCTACACCTACTCTTAATGAACGAATGTGGTGAGTTCCCACATAAGCTTCCAGATGCAATTGTGTTGGAGGGCAAGTGTTACAATTCTGTTACTTTACACTTAGAACAGATAGTAACTAGTCATCAATGAAATTCAAGAGTCTGAAGTTTGAGACTGGGTAAGGACCTGTGCTTTCAGCTGCTTTTTCTAATCTAGTGTAACCAACTGAAACTCCATGGAATTCACTCACAGCAGAGCCACAAATTAACCCCTCCAAATGTATATGGCTTAAATATTGTGCTGGAAGTCTTGTGAGGCCAGGCTTCTGCAGTGACATTTTCTCTAATTGTTATTTCCATTTGAGCTGGAAGTTCAGGGAACGTTTTTCCCCTGTTTTGCTAGTTTTGCTTCAGATGGACACAGCATGTGCAGAGAACATGTAGTAGTTGAGGGATGGATGGTGAATTAATCCCCCATCTCTTCTTTTTACTTAAAGGGGAAAAATAATTTGGGGCAAATGTTGAGATCAGACATGGGCTGATGGGGCAGAATTCCGATCTAGATCTGAACTTTCTCTAAGGCCGTCATTGGTTAAGACTCAGACTTTGTTTGCAGGAGCCTGTGATGATTCTATGTGACTCACTTCACCTGTCCCAAATAACAAAGTGTGGGTGATCTGGGGTGGAGTTTGATCACTATGGCTTTGTATGAAAATACTGAGGGCTACCTCCACAGAAGGTCCTGGGCATCACAAAGCTGAGTAGCCGAACACCTAATTTTTAAGAACCTTGGTACCAAGCAGAATCTGCAGCCCCAGGCAAGGTGCCTCTGCACTGCATGGAGAGATTTAAGTGCCTGGGAATGGAACCCATAAATGCCAGCACACTGCGTGGGGAGCTGTCTAAGCTAGGAAACAGGGAAGAGACTGACCAGAGGGTGTGGGGAAAGAATGACCATGACTATATATCTTAGTGGTTAAGGAACTCACCTAATCACTATGGCGAGGGAGACCTGGACTCCAGTCCCTGCTTTACAGTACGGTATATTTCTTCATGTGCTGTGCATTTTTCCCAGTTCCTTGCCTTCTCCCAATTGTTGTTCCCTTTGCAGCATCATTGTAATGGGCCTCTGGCTCTCAGAGGAGTCAGAAAGACATAACATGCACAGAAGTCCCAGTTCAGTGAACACGTAAGCCAGGGCTCAGCTTTCCTATGCTAACCAGTCCCATTGAAATCCGTGGGACTACTCAAATAATAAAGTTATGTGTGTGTGGGAATCTGTGGAATTGAAGCCACAGAGATGTCCAGGCCCTCTGACCTTTGGAGTTGGACATAATAATAGCTGAAAGACTTATGGGCGTTTCAGTCTGCACTTTTGCCGTGCTCACTGGCATGAGAGTTGCACCAATTCAGGCTCCACTGAATGTTTGTAGAGGCTGGAAGCCTACACAAGCATAAGTATGTCCGAGTTTAACATAGAATCATAGAAAATTAGGGTTGAAGGGACCTTACAAGTCATCTAGTCCAACTGGTTCTTAAAAATCTCCAAGGATGGAATATAAGGTGCTACAAATTGCAAAGACCATAGAGTAGACATTATCTGCTACCAAATCCCTAGGGCCTATGGCTGGAGATGATCACACTGAATGCATTCCCTCAAAAAGAGTGGTATAGTAAATTTCACTTACATTTGTAAAGATTTAAAAATATCTCAGGTTTTTAAACTGTGATATTCCCCAGTAAATGTGATATGGGCTTAAAAAGCAGTTGAGCTGACACTTAAATTAAAGGAAGGGAAGGGGATGGATCCTGCCACTGGGTCTTGCTTATTGCTTCTGTGATTCTCTCAAGACTAATATGGTCAAAGTTTCCTCACTCATCTTGGGTGGGAGTAGAGAGAGAGCAGGTCTCTCCAGAACTGTGGGGGTGCTGTTTTCTGATGTAGTGTGCATGTGTGTGTGTGTGCATGTGTGGTGAATAGCTATAAACCACAGTTATCTGTTGAGAAAGGGGAATGATCACACAGGACTCAGTGTTTTGGTGCTGTCACGTAATGTAATGCATTTGTGATGTCCAAATACAAACTTCTGACATAGGTCTGATTGTGTTTCGCAGTTTTACGCAACCTGAACAGCTGTTGTGAGGATTATTCCCTCTAACCTGTTTAAAAAGGCATCATCAAATAGATTAGGGGCAATATTTAAGTTACAACCCCCCCCCCAAGATAACTAAACCATATTCATGAAATTGTGTGCACGTTTCATTTCTTTTAGTCTTTATATTTTTATTGATGATGGAAGCAAATATTTTGCCTTTTCCCTCCCCTCTCCCTCCCCCTCCACACCTCCCTGTGCTTGTAAACTTCTCAGGCTACATGGTTTGAGAACTAGCAATTTGTCCAATCCAGAGGTTCTAAAACTTTTTCTTATTGCATACCCCCTTCCAGATTTACCAGTTGCCTGCGTATCCCTACCAGCATACTTGTCATATTTTAGACCCTTACATGCCAATTATTATTATAATGAAAATTAAATTTGCCATTACACAATTTCTCCCACATACCTCCCCAGAGATGCTTTGCATACCCCCAGGGGTACATGTATCACAGTTTGAGAACCCCTGTCCTCATCCATGAGAATCAGAAGTGAAACTAACCTATTTTTATCCTAGTTACACAAAGAATAAAAAAGAAAGCAGCCAGAATTGGTGGTGAAAAGCCAATCTGTTTTAAAGTATTTTTTCCTTTGTATAAGAGCTTTAGCAATAACAGTAGGTGGGGACAGTATCTTAATTTATAATTATTTTATTGTCTGTTCCTTTAAATCTGTCCATTGACTTTCTTGAAAGTTTAGGATAATATGTGAGCTGCTAGAAGCCAAGTGGGATGCCAATGAGAAGACAAGGGCCAAATTATACACGCTGTGCTTATGTTGCTAGGTACAATTTCATTGATTTCAATGCAGAATTAGGCCACATTTAAATGTATGTCCTTGCCATTGGTATTGCAAACATTCCTGGGATCTGCAGGGATTGGCACATGCTTAGAGATTAATTCCTTTGGGGGAAGGGAATGTCATTGTCCACCTTGTAGCATAGCTGTCTGCTCCAGTCCCAAGGGTTTGTGGATAGTGTTGTATGGATCAGAAAGGATATAGGGTGTCAGTAGAAGCTGTAATGTTAAACTGGTAGTAAAAATGGCCTGCCAAATCTGTGAATGACACTGAGTTTTGGATGAGATGTATGTCACAATTTATGGTTGTTTCCATGTGTGGTTTTTATGTAGAGCTTGCACTAAAGGCAAAACAAGGTGTAACAGAGCCAATCCTTCATTAATGGACAAGCATATTAGGACAGGTTGGTTGGCCAGTGAGAGATTTATTGGCGGTAGCCTGAGGAATGGCAGCTTTTAAGTCCTGGGGGATACAACTTTTCAAACAATGACTAAGCATAGTTACTGGGCAGCAGGGGGTTGTAAATAAA